GTTATTGCAAGGTCCCCTTCCTTTAGGGGATGATAGGGGTCTATTAGGGAGATTACCTAACTAGTGCTGATCAGGCAATTCCTGATTGACTGGTTTAAGATTCCATTTCTGGGAGAGCCGAAAGTGTAATTAAGTTCTCCATTTGGTGATGGTGGAGCTTAGCACAAGTGACTTTATTTGGAGCCTGTTGTCTTGTTTTTATCAATACAAAATAGAAAAAGAAAAAAGAAACAAGGATGCCTTTGAAAATAAGTGTTTGGTTGCTATGTCCACTCTAATGTTCTCACTAACTTCCATCAGCACATTCATGTGGTGAGTCTAAATATGAGATTCACTCTAAATATACTATTTTAAAACATGAGTGTTACTCTATACCACTGTGTAAGTTAAGTAATGGGTGTGATCTGAATATCATAAATTTTCTATTATACTCCAGAAGTAAGGGAAGGGGAAATAACTTTATTTTTACTTCTTATAGCCGTCAAAATATTGGAGGGAGAGAAGAAAGTAGATGGAATATGACCTCACTGCCTAGATAATGTTTCTTGTCCAGCCCAGAGATTGTTGGGAGTGGAGTCAGAGCCCTGGGCTACTAGCCTCATGTAAGGCCCTTAGGTGCTTAGAGCCTCACTTCCCTCATCCTCAGATGAGGTTATAGGGCTGTTTTATGGATCAAATGAAGATAATGGTTATGAAAACATTGTAATACTAACTACTAACTATAAAGCAAAAAGGAGAATTTTGAAGCTGCTTTAATGGTTAAAAATCAGTTTCAAGCAAGAAATGAATAACAACTTTGTTTTCATCTTCAGGAAACCAGGCGACACCAAAAACAGCACCCACCACAGCAGGCACTTCCACAGTGTTGGTTGCGACAGCAGTCCATGCATATCGATAGTAAGTAGCTGAGAAGGAATTTCTGAAGCTGCAGGGTGGGTTAAGCTCCTGTCTTTTCTCAGTAAGCCTCTGTTCGTTGCGAAATGGCTACTCAGCCTTGCCATAGAGAAAGTATCAGTAATGCTTTTTAACTTTTCCTTTGGAGAATTCTGCTCATAAAACTTTGAAGATCCATTANTGCTGTCCTTTTGTTCTTCAGTCTAGCTGTGGAGGACGTCACTTCACTGGCCCATGTTGGTATTATCATTGCGTTCTTCCCGGGTGAGGCAGTCACTTGCTGGCCATTGGACGGCCGCTCATAGTGGCTCACGGCAGCTCATGAAAGCTCATGCCCATTGCTGGCCAGCCCCACTGCAGCCTATGCCATCATTGGCGACTCACGGCAGCCCAGCTCCAAGTCGAGCTGTGGTTCACCATCTTAGCTGTAGAGGGCACAGCGTCACTGGCCCTCATGTGGGATCTGAACCGGGGCCCTGCTGCTCAGAGCTGGCGCTCCCAAGCCAACTCTTAACCAACGCTTGACTCAGCCGGCCCTAATTATACTTTCAAAGAGGAATTATAGCGGCATTTCAACTTAAAAATTACCTATGCAATCTTATGAGGTATTTACAAATAAAAAATAAGTACGAGTACAGGAGACCGTTTTGTTCAAGGGATATTTACTTAAGACGTCTGTGGAGAAGATGTCTGCAGCATAGTTCTTGAATCTCTTCAGATTTGAGTATAAAGACAGAGAAACTATTGAGTTGTTGGAAAAGTCATGATGCATTTTTGCAATGGAAAACATAGAAAAAATGCGTCATGACTTTTCCGACAACTCAATATATTTAAAGGGCAAGCCTATGGGTAATATTTACATCAAAACCAATTGAAGGGACTGGCCGAGTGGCTTGTTGGTTAAGAGTTGGCTTGGGATGCCAGTTCTGAGGAGCAGGGCTGCCAGTTCGGATCTCACATGAGGGCCAGTGACGCTGCACCATGTGCTGCTAAGATGGTGAACAACAGCTTGACCTGGAGCTGGGCTGCCGTGAGTGGCTTGCAGCTGCTGCGGGCTGCTGTGAATGGCCATCCAATGGCCGGCGACCAATCTGCCTCACCTGGGAAGAGCACAATGATAATACCTACATGGGCCAGTGAAGCGACGTCCTCCACAACTAGACTGAAGAACAAAAGGAGAGCAACTTGTCTGTTCCCCTTCCCCGATTCCCCAACACTGTTCCCTCCCCCAATTCCCCAATAAAATCTTTAAAAAAACAAACAAAACAATTGAGGAGGTATTCTCATGAACCCCCAGATAAAAGCAGGCATGGACAACTAGTAACAGTTGGAATGCATGGAATCAGCATTTGCATGGAAGAAAACAGGAACACAGTGGGAGAAGCTCTGAACCTGAGAATGGGAGAACCCCACAATAGCCAGTAGGTGTTCATGGGAAAAATGGCAGGCCGTGCAGAAACTGGAACGCGTTTTTTGCCCACTCTAGTTGGTTAGTGATGGGACTAAAAGAACTGGAGCATTCTTGCTCCTAGGAACTTGTGAAACTCACCTACTATGGTGACCTTCCAGGACGGGTCCCCACACAGAAGAACCTGCCGGGAGCAGAATTAAAATTAAGGAGGATAGAGCTATTAGAAGTGAAGGAAAAAGAAGATCCAAATAACAATAGGGATAGAATTAGAGTCTGGAAGTCTCTGGAGGAAGTCACCCTATTTTTGAACTCTGTGAAAAGAACAGAAGAGGTAGCTCTATGAAGTTAGGAAAGCCTCCCTGAACCCCTTGAAAGTTCAAAAAAGCAATTTCACATACAAATGAAAAGTAGTGAAGTATCAGAGTTGAACTCCATGCAAAGTTATGAGAACAAAGAGAGCAAGGAACAGAATAGTATCCCTACAAACAGCGAGAGCTCTTCTGTGAGTGTTCCTTACCGAAGAGATCAAAACTACAGCCACTTANTTATATTACAGTTTGTAGTTATATGTTATGTAATATAGAATTCCCTTGTTAAGAGTATATAAGCTCCTTGAAAATAGAACCCAATTTTGCTCACCAATGTATACCCAGCACTTAGCACAGTGTCTGACACACATTTCTTGAATAAATGAAGTATAGAGTTCTATGGGAGCCCCTCGGAAGGTCATCTAACCTAGACTTTGAGATTAGGGGCATCTTCCAGGGGAGAGCAGGAACAGGAAGAACGTTTCAGGCCGAGGGAACAGCATGTCCAAAGGCTGGAGATTAGAAAGATCTTGCCTTATTTAAGAAACTAGAAGTTCCTCAGTGTCACTGTAGGACACAGTTGGAGATGAGCAATGGCCAGGCAGCAAGCTGGGGAAATGAGAGGCTAGGTCTTAACAGACCTTGTAAAGCTGTCTTGTGGAGTTTGGATTTTTATCTTGTTGATATTGAGGTATCCTTGAGGGTTATGAAGAGAAAAGAGACTTGGTCAGATTTGGTGTTTAGATTACTGTGGATGCAGTGGGAACAATGGATAAAAGAAAGGCCGGCAAGGCCAAGGCAGGGAGTTAAGTCCATAATTCTAGCTAGGTAGATGTGATGGTGGCCTGAACTAGGGAAATGGCAGTGAGGATGGGGAGAAGTGAATGGGTTCGAGAAATGTTAAGCAAGTAAAACCAAATGGACTCGGGGATTGGTTATGAACACCAGGGAGGAAAAGTCAAGGCTGATGCCCAGATTTCATTTTGGTTGTGGATGTTTGCAGAAATGAGTTAACCTAGTAGACCTGAGCCTGCTATCCTTAGGGAGCCCTGCTTACAAGATTGGCATTTGGCTGACATCTGGGAACTTCGTTGATAAACAATTTCCCACACCGATAAGCTTTCTGTAAATGATAAGAGTGGCTCATTTATATAAACTTGTTGGTACAAACAATATGATTTATGACCCTTGCCTTCCGTCTGGGAGTCTAGAATTTTGGTACATGCTAGAGGGTGCCCCAACGTGCCTTTTCCCTTTGCTAATGTTGCTGTGTATCCTTTCGTTGTAATAGATCTTAGCCATGAGTACAATTCTGTGCTGAGTCTATGAGCCCATCTAACAAATCACTGAACCTGGGGACAGCCTTGGGGACCCGGACATAAAATGTCATTCACCAGGAGAGGGAGCACAAGACTAGAAACAGGTTTTGCTGGGCAGTGGGGATTGGATCTGAGTTCTACTTTGGACATGTCACATTTGTGTTGCCTTGGGATACCTGTGTTGTCTGGCACTCGAGCAAGTTCTTGGCTGGGGATACAGATTTGAGCTTCATCAGTATTTGGACAGCACTTGATACCAAGGCAAATTAATTAGATTGCCAAGGGGGAGAGAGTATAAAGTCTTGGGAGCATGGACATTTAAATGTTGGACGAAAGAAGAACAGTCCAGGAGGTTAAATGAGGAGCCAAGGAGATGGGAAGACAACAAGAAATGGATCTCTTTAGCATTTATCTATGTCTTATTTGGGCCAGTTCCTCTTCCTACTCCCTCAGGTATCCCCACAGAAGTCAAGGTAAGAGTTTGTTTGAAGGAGAACAAATTAGTTGGCAGTGTAAAAAGGCAGCATCAAGGCCAAAAAAGATAAGGACTGATAAACTGTAGTAACAAAAAGGCTGTTGGTGATCTTAGCAAGAGCAGTTTCAGTGGAACGGTTGGGGCATAAGATTCATTGCAAGGGATGTTCAAAGAATGGTTCTGCCTGTTAGATGAAATGATAGATGGGACCGTGTTTGATGAAGTTAGTAGTACAGTGTTATTTTTATTTAATAAGATAGTAAAAAGTAGGAAACTATGACTTGCTAAAGGCAAGAATTTACAGTTTGAAGAGACCATCTGGACCAACTACCTCATCTTATGATGCATAAACTGAGGTCTAGGAAGAAGAAATGCCTTGACTAAAGTCCAGTGTATGGGTAAGGTCAGCTGGTGCTGTTCAGATCAGAAATACAATCTTGATTTCAAAGACACTTAGCTACCACTTCCAGTATTGAATGGTGGGATGTACAGTCAGGGAGGTATTTGTTTAGGGGTGGAGGTGAGCAGCATTTGTAATGATTCCAGGTTTGAGATATATCAAATGAAATGTCATTTTCATTTTCTACTGACAGTGCCAGATTGGCCTCTCTCTTTGGACTGGATCAGGCACCTGCTGGCCGTGGAAATGAATTCTTCCAGTACACAGCTCCCAAACAGCCTAAGAAAGGCCAGGGAACAGCAGCAACAGGTAAGTTAAGAGATTAGGACTGGCCTCTACCAAGTTAGTTGAAAGGATAAACAGCCTTCTCAAAGTGACATGCCAGGTTGTTCATCCTTGATCAGTCTGGCCAGGCTCACTATCAGTGGTGCTTGCCTCTTTAAGCTCTGAGATACGACTTCTGGCAGCTAGATAGTGTGCCCTGTGTTGGAAACTGATGGAAGAAGGTCGCAGGTAAGCTCTTCTGTCCCATGTGGATACCACTCAAAAACTCTGCCCAGGGCACTCTTAAGTAGATACGCTAGGGTTTTGGCGAGGAGGAAGACTGCTTTTCACCTGGATGGGTTAGATGTATGATGACAATGAATTTTTCCCAACTAGACAACGATGCTTGGTCCTCTATCCCCTGTCCCTTTCATCATGATGGACACAAGAAAATAGAATGAACATTTGTTGAATGAAAGGAGAGAAGGAGGACTGATATTTTTTAAATGCCTGCTATGTGTTTGGTTTCAGTGATTTACTTAGATGTTCTTCTTTTAATTCTCACAACAATTCTGTGAAACAGGTAAGACTGCCACCATTTTAGAGGCTCAAGTGACCGAGTTAAAATTTGAACCCTGACCTGATTCACTCCAAAGGTTTTTTTCCCTCCCGTAGAACCAGAAGAGAGTGAG